TGTATCTATTTATACATGCTTCTGGTGTCTTAGGAATACCTGGCCAGTTGTGAGATACTTTGAGAGTACTGATAATTGAAACAGTTTATTCCTGCGGTCCCTGTTTATAATTTAGTTGTGATCTCTCATTTCTACGGAAGCTTTATGCTCAAAGGTAGTTGAAGTCATACCTAATTATATTCATACGAATGAGGACTTATATGAATGCGTGAGGTGGCACTCATTTGAATCATTCCCCTTCACTTTTTGAATTACTTTTGATTTTCCTTCTTAAAGTTAAATATAAAAAGCAACAATGTGCATCAAGTTTAGATGCATCTTAGCGTCGGTTAACTATTTGCAAAAAATTTTCATGTTAGTTTTTTTCTTGTATCGGTCAGTTCATAAGAGCGGTGCGTTATTAAATTACAATTTTTAAGAATTGGTTGTGGAATGGAAGCAATGCGCAAAATACGTGTAAAAAAAAAAAGCTGTATTAAAGATGAAACCTTTGAAGGTGGTGAACGTTCTCAAGACCTATTAAAGAAGATCTCAAATATGCGAGCGAAATAAATGGAATACCGTCCAAAACTACATGATGAAGCTGATGAAATGTCAGCCTTCTTAGATATAATAATAAATAATGAGTCCTTTCCAAAATAAATCTATCCTCAACGTTTAACACCATATAATTTGTAATACACCATCTTTTGATGATAATGATGTACGACTTTAAATTATTCATTTATCCTTTAAAGATAGTATAGGGTGGGTTGTTAAGTACAACTGAAGAACATGTTAAACAATTTTCAAGGCAAATCCTAAAACCATTTTTCTACTTTAACTCCGCAGATAGTCATGTGATAAAATTCAACGATAATTGAACTATTTTTTAAGAAAAACTAAAAAAATTTTAGTCTATTTCATTATCTTTTAGTTTTAATTAAAAAATAAAAAGAATAAATTGACCAAAATTTGATTGCAGCCTCAATGAAGGATCATTTGTGCTCTTATTGTACTGAAAGTCGGCTGGAATTTGTCCGATGAGCTTATTCGTCAACAATGTAATTTAATTTGACCCGGTTCAGTCATCTCAATCATTTGACACTAGCGGAGTCGACTTTTTTTTACAGAACTTACTCAGTCATTGGCTCCGACACCAACGCTGACATCACTAGTTTTATCAAAGGGAAAAAAACAGTAAACTGTGAAAAGAAAGGAGTTGTAGCAAATTACATATATTACAAATGTCAAAATATCATATATTGTCACCAAATATTTTAGTAACAGAAATTTTTTGTAATCGATATATATAAAATCAATGTTTTCTTGCTTTTTTTAAGCGAAGCATTT